GAACTGATAAGAGCTGATAAGATACCGCGAGCAGCCTTATAAGGGGAGGATCACCAAATTCATAGCGCGGGCCACAGCAACGATGAGACCTTGGTTCCAGGAAGTAAGATAGGGGGCAGGATGGGAACATTATTGGTGGGTGGCAGGAATTGATAACAGCTGATAAGATACCATAAGGAGCCTCAGAAAGAGTGGGTTACCTAATTCATAACACCGGCCAGAGCAACGACCGGACGTTGGATCCAAGTAGTAAGATAGGGGGCAGGATGGGAACATTATTGGTGGGTGGCAGGAATTGATAACAGCTGATAAGATACCCCGAAAATTCACAGCAGAGTTGTTGCAACACTGTGGAACTGCTCCAGCAAGTAATTCAGGGGTGCTCAGGGAACATTAAAGGTGGGAGATAAATTCTGTCAGTGTCCGACAACGGCTTTTGGGACTCCGTATATGCTCACATCATCGTGGCCAAATTTCTATTCCTAGCAATATCCCTCAGTTTAGCGGTCGGAATTGCTTCCACCGCTAAACGCTCGAGTTTCACCGGAAAGGGAATTGTTGGCCAGTGAGGAATGATAAGAGCCACTATGATTTCGACTTTTTTATCATCGAGATTCTTCCCACCGCTATGCTGTCCTATCCCCAACGAATGGTGCTTTTAGAAATATGATAGGCACCAAACACTGGCAAATGTTCATTAAAATGGAGAAACATGATGAAATGGGTCGTCCTCGAAACATGGGAATTAGGCTAAGTGTTAGTGCTCAGGACAAATCCTGTCAGTTATCGTAGTACCATGGGTTTAACCATGCGCGCAGTAGTGCGCGTCAGCCAGACTGGTGACAACATAAGCTACCAGTGGCCCATGAACTTTTGCACTTTTTCGGGCTATTACTAATAGTTGCCGTGAAATTTTTTTGTACTCTCGTGAGCATCCAGCACGGATGAGCGAGAAATATCTTGCCATCTTCGTGAAGCCCTTCGAATTGGAAAAAAAAATTTCTAGTCAGCTATTACTATGCCGAAGGTCACCAATGGTAACGCCCAACTTTCTTTATTGAAAGGTGCCAGGTGGTGCGGCGTCCCACAACAGTGTGCGAAAGCTGAGAGCAGGTGAAAAAAAAGAGCTGGCACTAAGTGACCACTATGTGTGTGTTAATGGAGGGAAGGGAATTCATCCTTAATGGTTTATCGCCCGATAGACATGCCAGCGCCTCCCCCTTTTGGATGTATGGATACCAAATTCACGGAAAAAATTGCTCCGAATATTACTTCTCCAGCCTAGTTTCCGTAACTTGTGAGCGAAGAAAGCGGCCGGCTGTTGCAGCCGCGAACTCAATCCCTTTCTAAAACGTGAGCTTTTCAACTTGCAGGATTGCTGTCTGCAAATCACCGAGCGGAAAGTTGGGCAGATGGTTTGAGACGGGAAATAGGGTCCATTTTTCATTGCAACCTGGGTGCGATCACCTGTATTGAGCCCGCTTTGGACACGCGGCAGAACATATCAACCAAAATAACATTTCCCAAAAAAGCGACAGACACGTAGGATTGAAATCGTTCACTTGAAATTTCCATTAGCAATATGGAACATTAACGCTCTGACTCCCTTACAGCTTGATAAAGCAGCATTTACTACGAACACTACAGATACCGATCCTATCTTAGGTACATTAATTGAACAACGTTAACTAGAACTTCCTACTCAGGACAAGTTGACTTCAGTTGTAACAAGTTGACTTAATGACTTTCAATACTCATTTCTCTGAGAAGAGATCAAACGGTTAGGTTCAAGCTATAATTAACACAAGAAAGCAAAACGACAAAAATGAACAGTTTTGCATGCTCAACAAGGCGATCAACTTGTTTCTGTACATCCACTTTGCCCGTATTGAAATCGCTACCTGAACAACAGCATGGATGTACTACTTAGATGACCAAGATTGACCTCTAAAAATACTAGTTACTACCTTCGGGAACAAATTAAGGAACTTACCGGTTGGTCTGTGCTTAATTCTGTTAATGACACGTTCTCGAAGGATTTGAGGCGCTTTGGGTAGCGTCTTCCTTCAAGTGACGCCACTCTTCTCACCAGGTACGGCTTTGTTCCTGAAGCACTTTATTTTAATATATCGTATTATAAATTACCCATTTACCGGTCACTAACTGAAATTCGCCATCAAAATCTATTACCATACTCAGCTGATAAATAAGGACAATATAAGAAAACAAGCAATAAATCTACAAAGCCGGTAAATGAAAAGAATTACAGAGGATGGTAAAGAGATTAGGAGCATCAACACTCTAGCAGTCGCCGGCTTATCACTGGGTTGTAGACGAATGCTTCCAGAACAGCCACCAAACTTCTACGATTAGTTCGGAGCAACCGTGATACACGCTCAACGGTAGTTGCCTTCGATACGGTCACTTCCATAGCCTGAAATGAGCTCATCGGAACTGCCGTGTACAAGACTTTAGTGTGAGGGAAAACATTCGCTCGCTGCTAAGAAGTCTCTAAGTAAAAGGGGAAGCGCACCTCCTCTCTTAACCAGGGAGGTCATTCACGACGTGGAGCGTTTTTTGAACACGGCTTTTTACATGATGTGGGGTCACTTGCATTGAGTACCAAACTGATGTTCATTTTTCTGATCGGCTGTGGGAATACTAATAGTGAAAAAGAAGTCCAATGGAACCGAATTGTTGAGTGTCAGTGAGATCTTAATCACTTGCAACTTTGATCAATTGCTGAGTGGAGAGTAATTATAAAGGTACTACAGGAATCCACGAAGAAAATAGTCGCAAATGGGGTCTTATTTGTGGCAAGTGATTAGGAGTAAGCGCCTCTGAGCGGCTCGCCGGAATGGTTTCTTCAACAATCGGAGCGGTGTTCAGCTACAAAATCGGAAATCCTAGTGGATAGCGTGGAGGATTCTCAATCGGTCAGGGAAGGTGGGGGCAGCTGTGTTGGTTCAGCTCCGCTATGATCCTTTTTTTTGTAAGGTGCAGTCCGACAGTAACATGTTGAAATCAGAACGTGCGGACGAATGTTTCTCTCGAAATTTTGATTGCTTTTAGATTTCGATTTGCTGTGTGTAAAGATTGGCCGTGGAAGCACTAGGTACTCTCTCGCACTTGATTCACCTTAATTAATCGCGATGATTCTTAGCAAGAATTACAGGAAACTATGAAAACAGCAGTGGCCGTCCCTGTCAGTTTGGTAGTCGTACATGCCACCCTCTTTAGCAAGATAAAGGAGGAAGACCCCTGCAAGGACAACGAGCCAGAACAGTACTTATAGTAGAGCTCCAAAATCAACACCACAGGAACTCTCTTAGCACCACGTCGTGAACTAACGAAATTTTCCTCGTTGTAGCTGTGAAGAGAAGGTCCCGAAAGAGTATTGTGAGTCACAGTTCCACACATGGGAACAAAAGAAGGCAAAAGAAGGCAGAAGGCAAAATTTGCATGATGTGAGGTCACTTGGATGAAGTACCAAACTGATGTTCATTTTTCTGAACGCCTCTGGGAGTACCAAAAAGAAGAAGTCGATGGAAACCGAATTTTTGAGTCTCAGTGAGTTTTGAATCACTTGCCACTTTGCTGAGTGGAGAGTAATTATAAAGGTACTACAGGAATCCATGAAAAAATAGTCGCAAATGGGGTCTTATTTGTGGCAAGTGATTAGGAGTAAGCGCCTCTGAGCGGCTCGCCGAAATGGTTTCTTCAACGATCGGAGCGGTGTTCAGCTACAAAATCGGAAATCCTAGTGGATAGCGTGGAGGATTTTCAATCGGTCAGGGAAGGTGGGAGTTGATGGTTGAACTCCCCTCGGCTTTCGAGCTTTTTCATTTTTTATGTTCAGCTGCTCTCGCTTTCATATGAGACTGTTTATAAATTTTGGATATCTACCATTTATGGGCATAGTCTGACTTATACCACATGTGTCGTGTTATTCAACAATTTCAGTTTTCACATGCTATTGAGCAGGAGTTTTTCTGGAAGTTGATCTTTATATGTCATTCAGTTGAATGATCACGACAATGGCATTTAGTCAATTAGTTTCAGCTGTTTTATGGCCAATTTGGAGCCACGTCTGTCTATCACTGGACTCGCTGGCTACACTCATTTGAGGAACATTCAGGGCCTTTTTGACGCCAGAATGCGTGGACGCTGAAAACAGTTGCAAGAATCGTGATCAGGACGAATGCTTATCCCTAGGCAAACTTTCTGCTCTTTTGGATTTGTGTATTGGGTTATGCTTTAAAGTCATTCTGTAGAACGTGCACCTTTCTGAGTACTGAAACATTCCCATTCAGTGGTACAGAACCTTAAAACTAAAAATAAAAAAACAACAATAAACGCCATGGAAAGAAGAAGAAGGAGGTCGTCATTGCTGCAGGTGTATTTAAATAAGTAAAGGAGATCAAATGAGTCCCTTCTCTTGGCAGTGGAGGACGACATTTTTGTAGAGCGAGCGCTGAGTCGATGAACATCGACAAATGTCCAGGACAGTTTTTCACTTGTTCTGCGGCCACCCATGCCTCATGCCAAGTATGAATGGACCTTATGAGCACCAAATCCGCGATGAGGCTGCCCGGCGGCCCACCACATCATCGGTGCGTCGTCACCGCTCCGAAGGTGTGACTTCGGCCATTATTGCCAACCAAGTGGGTCTATCACAACAGAGAAAGTAAAAAAAATTTTGGTTCATATTTGCCCATAGGGGTAATCGTTGGTCGTGATCACGATTCTGACACTTATCCTGGCGTCGACGCATTCTGGCGTCAAAATAGCCCTGAATGTATCTCACATGAGTGTCATAGCGAGTCCAGTGAAAGAACGACGTGGCTCCAGAATAGCTGCAACTAAATGCCCTTGTAGTGCTCAGGCCACTGAATGACGTATAAAGATCAACTTCCAGAAAAACTCTTGCTCAATAGCATGTGAAAACTGAAATTGCTGAATAGCACCGACACATGGGGTATAAGTCAGACTATGCCCATAAATGGTAGATATCCAAAATTTATAAACAGTCTCATATGAAAGCGAGAACAGCTGAACATAAAAAATGAAAAAAGCTCGAAAGCCGAGGGGAGTTCAACCATCAACTCCCACCTTCCCTGACCGATTGAAAATCCTCCACGCTATCCACTAGGATTTCCGATTTTGTAGCTGAACACCGCTCCAATTGTTGAAAAACCGTTCCGGCGAGCCGCTCAGAAGCGCTTACTCCGTAATCACTTGCCACAAATAAGACCCCATTTGCGACTATTTTCTTCGTGGATTCCTGTAGTACCTTTATAATTACTCTCCACTCAGCAATTGATCAAAGTTGCAAGTGATTAAGATCTCACTGACACTCAACAATTCGGTTCCATTGGACTTCTTTTTCACTATTAGTATTCCCACAGCCGATCAGAAAAATGAACATCAGTTTGGTACTCAATGCAAGTGACCCCACATCATGTAAAAAGCCGTGTTCAAAAAACGCTCCACGTCGTGAATGACCTCCCTGGTTAAGAGAGGAGGTGCGCTTCCCCTTTTACTTAGAGACTTCTTAGCAGCGAGCGAATGTTTTCCCTCACACTAAAGTCTTGTACACGGCAGTTCCGATGAGCTCATTTCAGGCTATGGAAGTGACCGTATCGAAGGCAACTACCGTTGAGCGTGTATCACGGTTGCTCCGAACTAATCGTAGAAGTTTGGTGGCTGTTCTGGAAGCATTCGTCTACAACCCAGTGATAAGCCGGCGACTGCTAGAGTGTTGATGCTCCTAATCTCTTTACCATCCTCTGTAATTCTTTTCATTTACCGGCTTTGTAGATTTATTGCTTGTTTTCTTATATTGTCCTTATTTATCAGCTGAGTATGGTAATAGATTTTGATGGCGAATTTCAGTTAGTGACCGGTAAATGGGTAATTTATAATACGATATATTAAAATATTAGGTTGTTCGAAAAGTCCTGCGACACTTTGTTTGAACTATTCTAGAAAAAGACCAAAAATCATTTTGAATGTTTTTATCTCTGATTAGTGGAGACTGTCTCCTGAGGTTTCTGAAAATGGGTATATCATGGCTCCGTGGAAGTTTTCAAAGCTTAAAAATACCTCAGAGATGAGGTACTTCTCGACCTATCCCATATTATGAGTTCCTGTAGGGCAACTCCGCCATAGTCGAGGAAGCTAACACTTACGTTGTCTTGAGGAAGGATATCGCTTGCCATAGCAGAGAGTTCCTTTTGCATCAGCGCTTCCAGGCTGGACTTATTCAACTCGGAAGTAGGCAATGTATAGGTCGGCCACCAGCACAGAATGACGGCCCTTTACTCAAGCTTCTTGAGGCGCAGCCGAACGTAACCACCAGTAAGTTGGCAACCTCTCTAGGCTCCACCTAACTGACAACTGCCATGCTTCTCCGCAGTCTCGGTTATCGGAAAAATTTTTTATGAAGGATGCCTCATGAGTTGAACCCCTCTGACAAGTCATACCGAATGACCGTGACTGAGTTTTTTTTTCCTTGTACACACTGGAGGAACATTTGTGAGATCTTGTGGTTGGTAGAGAGTGGTGGGGTCCTTGCGTACATCTTGCACATGTTCCTCGCAGGATCTCTCAAACAGAAAAGTAGATTGCACAGCCAAAAGCAGATGTGCATGGGATAAAGATTTCAGTAGGTTATTGGTGGGACTTCAAAGCGGTATCTCTGGATACTAGCATAACGGTAAGGACTACAGTCCACTCTAACCAACCTCACAACATGGATGACGTCACGCTTGAATTCTTCAAAAATACTCAATTTTTCTCTACCGCTCGGCAATGCGAAGACCGCATGTTAGGATCAGGCCACACCAAAAGATCGTGGATCTTGATCTGAGAATGCGACCATACCCAGCTTATTCATCAAAGTTAGCAGTCTCTAACTACTACCTTTTTTGATCCCTACCGCATCCTTAAGAAGGCAAAAATTCCGAAAATCGACGTCTACTCAAAAATGAGGTCCACCTCTTCTTCTTATCATAGTTGCCGTAGTTCTATAAGAATGGAAATGAGAAGCTGTGCAAAAGAAGGGCACTAGTCCTAGTCCTTAGTGGTGATTACCTTGTAGATTGGAGATGTCTTTTAGTGACTGAAAATTTAGTCCGAAAAATTGGTCAAAGTGTCGCAGGACTTTTCGACCAACCTAATACCAGTCGCCTCGCCGGCTGACGCCGGCGCGGCTCCTTCTGATACGGCCCGGCTGCGCCGGGCGGGCGCGGCTTCGCCGCGCGTACCTTTCCTCGTAGAAAAAATGTGGAAAAGAAGAAATGCGGGGTCTGCGAAAATGATGAAAATACGAAAATGCGGTACGTATCGATTGGTAGACGCAGATATGCGGAGTTCGCAGTAATGCGGAATCTACAGAAATGACGAAAAGGATTAAATGAGCCGTGGTCAGACTTCGCGAGAGCAGCG